TCCCTCCCCTTTCCTTTTTCCCACCGCCTCCTCCCCTTCCCGACTATTTAAAGTCGCGACATCGCGGGCGGCGGCTCAGTGGAAGAAGAAGAAGGCGGCCGAGGAGGGTGAGAGTGTTTTTTTTTTTTTAATTTTTTTTTTCCCCCTCCACGCGAGTTTTCCGCCATGAATCCCAACTGTGCGCGCTGCGGGAAGATCGTGTATCCCACGGAGAAGGTGAACTGCTTGGATAAGGTGAGCTCCGCGGGGTGGCACGTGGGGACCGCGACAAGGATTTGGGGTTTTTCCCATAGGATCGCCTCTGCATGGGATGGTTTTTCCCCTCACCCTCATTCCCTGAAGGGTTTTCCATAGGATCGCGTTGTTTTGGGGGATCTCCGGCAGGATTTCAGCCCCCCATCCTCCGCGGGTGGCACTTCCTTATGGACGCGGCTGTCCCCCCGCCCTATTCCCGGGAATATTTCCACGCTTCCCACTCCAAACCCCGCTTTTCCCGGGGGGGTTTCCACGCTGGATCCCCTCCTGGTGGGACCCCAGGGGATCTGGGTTCCTCCCACCCTCATTTCCCGAGGATATTTCCATGTTCCCCCACCGTGTCCTGGGGGTCCCTGGAGCCCCCGGTGTCCCCATGGTCCCCAAGGGGAGGGGACAGGGACGGAGCTCTTTGCCCTGGGGGCTCCGGCAGCATCCCCAGCTCTTCCTTCCATAGCAAATATTTCTGTTTATTGGAATATCTCCCATTCAAAGGCGGCACATCCGTGTGGAGGCCCAAGGAAAGCAACAGTTAACGCTTCCCTGAAGCCGGGAACCTCATCTGGTTTCCATTATCGAGCTTTTTCCCCTTTTTTTTTTTTCCTCTTTTTTATTTTTTCCAAATCTCCCATCCCAGTTGCTACTTCCCTGTTCCAAAATCCCATCCCTCCACTCCGGGGCTGCCTCCCTTAACCTGGAATATTTTTTTGGAGTGTTTTCCCCTCAAAACCCAAGCTCTGGTGGAAGCTGGAGGTGGGGAAGGTGATGGTGGGGCTCCATTCCCGCTGCTCTTCCCATGGGATTTCCTTTACTCTCCTCCCCCTTCTCTCCCAGGCTTCTGGGACAACCAGTTTAGGGACTAAAAAAAGTAACTGGGAAAAGAACACTCCGCTCTCCAGCGGCATTCCTGAGCTCCGGCAGACCCTGTTGCTCGCATTTTTAAGGGATGATGCTTCTTCCTGAGGCCGGGAATGGCTGGGAGCTGAACTATCACCCCTAAATCCTGGGATTTGGGGCTCTGAGTGGCTCTGGGCCCTGGGAGCCTCCAGGAGCTGCTGGGTGTTGGGATTGGGGACAATAGGAAGGGAAAAGGGGTTGGGGGATAACTGGAAGGGAAGGGAGGGTTTGGGATTTGTGGATATTTAAAAGGGAAAAGGGTTTGGGGGCTGTAGATATTTGGAAAGGAAAAGGAGGTTTGGTATTGTAGCTATTTGGTAGGAAAAGGGGTTTGGGATTGTAGCTATTTGGTAGGAAAAGGGGTTTGGGATTGTGGGTATTTGGAAGGGAAAGGGGTTTTGGGATTGTGGATATTTGGAAGGAAAAGGGGTTTGGGGGTTGTGAAAATCTGGAAGGGAAAGGGGTTTGGGAGATGTGGATAAAAGGAAGGGAAGAGGGGTTTGGGGTTGTGAAAATGTCAAGGGAAGGGGGNTAAAAGGGGAGGGGGCACCCGGATTTGAACCGGGGACCTCTTGATCTGCAGTCAAATGCTCTACCCCTGAGCTATACCCCCACCTGGGCAGGTTGGGCAGGTGAGGCTGCTTGTGGCCAGGTGAGGTTCCCTGTGGCCAGGTGAGGATCCTCATGGCCAGGTGAGGCTGCTTGTGGCCAGGTGATGTTCCTCGTGGCCAGGTAAGGTTCCCCATGGCCAGGTGAGGCTTTTCATGGCCAGGTGAGGCCTTTCATGGCCAGGTGAGGCTTTTCATGACCAGGTGAGGTTCCTCATGGCCAGGTGAGGTTCCTCGTGGCCAGGTGAGGCTGCTCGTGGCCAGGTGAGGCTTTTCATAGCCAGGTGAGGCTCCTCCTGGCCAGGTGAGGCTCCCTGTGGCCAGGTGAGTTTCCTCATGGCCAGGTGAGGTTCCTCGTGGCCAGGTGAGGTTCCTCATAGCCAGGTGAGGTTCCTCGTGGCCAGGTGAGGCTCCTCATGGCCAGGTGAGGCTTTTCATAGCCAGGTGAGGCTCCTCGTGGCCAGGTGAGGTTTCTTGTGGCCACTGACGTGGCTCTGTCACATTCCAGGGGTGGCTGTCACACTCCAGCTGCTCCCAGCCCTGCCTGGCACACCCAGCCCTCCCTCACTGCCCTCACACCAGGGCTCTCACCACGTTCCTGGTAAGGCAGGTACTGAATTCCCTCTAAAAAACCCCAAATGTGGCTCAAAGGAAATGATCATTTCCAATGCTGACTTCAAAATGTCACCACTTAGCTTTGGTTGGTCTCACTGCCCTCACACCAGGGCTCTCAGCATGCTCCTGGGTAAGGCAAGTACTGAATTCCCACCTGGTTCCCTCTAAAAAACCCCAAATGTGGCTCAAAGGAAATGAACATTTCCAATGCTGACTTTAAAATGTCACCACTTAGCTCTGGAGGTCTCGGGGTGTGTGCCCAGCCTGGCTCAGGAATTACTGAAACACCAAAAATCCTCCCCAAAATGTTTAATCCAACTCTGGAAGCCACGGGGAAATCCTTCAGAAAGCNTTCCTGGCCCTCAGAGTTCCTATGTCCCTGCTTTTCCCAGCCTTTGGAGTTGCCTCTATCCCTGTGTGGAGTTCCTCTCTCTGTCCCTGCTTTTCTTGGCCCTTGGAATTCCTCTATCCCTCTTTTTACTGGCCCTTGGCTACTCTCTCTGTCCCTGCTTTTCCCAGCCTTTGGAATTCCTCTATTCCTCCTTTTCCTGGCCCTTGGCTACTCTCCCTGTCCCTGCTTTTCCTCTATCTCTGCTTTTCCCAGGCCTTGGAGTTCTTCTAGTCCTGCTTTTCCTGGCCCTTGGAATGCCTCTGTCCTTGCTTGGGGTTCCTCTATCTTTGCTTTTCCTGGCCCTTGGAGTTCCTCTCTCTGTCCCTACTTTTCCCAGCCTTTGGAATTCCTCTATTCCTCCTTTTTCTGGCCCTTGGAGTACCTCTGGCCCTGCTTTTCCTCTGTCCCTGCTTGGAATTCCTGTGTCCCTGCTTTTCCTGGCCCTTGGAATACCTCTCCCTGTCCCTGCTTTTCTTGGCCCTTGGAATTCCTCTATCCCTCTTTTTACTGGCTCTTGGAGTTCCTCTCTCTGTCCCTGCTTTTCCTCTATCTCTACTTTTCCCAGGCCTTGGAGTTCTTCTAGTCCTGCTTTTCCTGGCCCTTGGAATGCCTCTGTCCTTGCTTGGAGTTCCTCTATCTTTGCTTTTCCCAGGCCTGGGAGTTCCTATGTCCCTGCTTTTCCCAGCCTTTGGAGTTGCCTCTATCCCTGTGTGGAGTTCCTCTCTCTGTCTCTGCTTTTCTTGGCCCTCGGAATTCCTCTATCCTTCCTTTTCTTGGCCTTTGGAATTCCTCTATCCCTCTTTTTACAGGCTCTTGGCTACTCTCTTTGTCCCTACTTTTCCCAGCCTTTGGAAATCCTCTATTCCTTCTTTTTCTGGCCCTTGGAGTACCTCTGGCCCTGCTTTTCCTCTGTCCCTGCTTGAAATTCCTGTGTCCCTGCTTTTCCTGGCCCTTGGAATACCTCTATCCTTCCTTTTCTTGGCCTTTGGAATTCCTCTATCCCTCTTTTTACTGGCTCTTGGAGTTCCTCTCTCTGCCCTTGCTTTTCCTCTATCTCTGCTTTTCCCAGGCCTTGGTGTTCTTCTAGTCCTGCTTTTCCTCACCCTTGGAGTGCCTCTGTCCTTGATTGGAGTTCCTCTATCTTTGCTTTTCCTGGCCCTCGGAGTTCCTATGTCCCTGCTTTTCCCAGCCTTTGGAGTTGCCTCTATCCCTGTGTGGAGTTCCTCTCTCTNTGTCCCTGCTTTTCCCAGCCTTTGGAGTTGCCTCTATCCCTGTGTGGAGTTCCTCTCTCTGTCCCTGCTTTTCCCAGCCCCTGGAGTCCCTGTCCCTGTTTTTCCTGGGCAGAGTCCGAAGGGCAGCCGGGCTGTGCTGGCAGCAGGAGGGCACAGCCCCAACCTTGGGATGTGCCTTTGCTGCCAGAACCAGGGAAACCCCACTTCCCTTTGGGATTTATGGAAAACCCTGAGCCTGACCCCCCTCCCCACAGCCCTGACGTGCCCCGAGTGGCTTTGGGGACATCGCTGTCCCTGCCCCCACGGGGACAGTGCCACTGCTGGCTTTGGCTTCCGCAGGGGAAGTGACACCCGAGGGTTGGGCTGGGCTCACCCTGAGCTGAGTCTCACCCTGGGCTGGTCTCCTTCAGCCCAGGGGGTTCCTCTGGGTGTTATCCTAAATCCTGGGGTCCCCCTGTGTTGTGGGGTTTGTCCCCCTGTGTTGTGGGGTTTGTCCCCCTGTGTTGTGGGGTTTGTCCCCCTGTGTTGTGGGGTTTGTCCCCCTGTGTTGTGGGGTTTGCTCCCCAGGTTATGGGGTTTGCCCCAGGTATGGTGCAAAGGCTTTGCCTGGTCGGAAAAGAGAAGCAGTGGCTGCCCCTGGATCCCTGGAAGTGTCCAAAGCCAGGCTGGACAGGGTTTGGAGCACCCTGGGACAGTGGGAAATGTCCCTGCCCATGGCAGAGTGGCACTGGATGAGTTTGAAGGTTCCTTCCATCCCAAACCACTCCATAATTCTAAATCCTTCATTTCCCCAGCATGGATTAGCTCTGACCCACTCACCTGCATAACCTGGAAAGTTTTAGAGCTGTTTTCCTTTAAATCTGTCATTTTCCACTGAGGTTATGTTGGTCAGAAGAGTTTCCAAAATGTGTGTTCACACATAGAACTAAAATCCTGTCCAGCCTGCTGGGATGTGGGGTCACCTGGGATCCCCTCCAGGCTCAGGCTTGGGAAGCACAGGGAGTTCATCCTCCCCCAAACCCCATTTGGATCCTGTCCTCTTTCCAGAGCGAGCAGAACGTTCCTGGAAGCTGAAATAACTCCTGCTCCCCTGTGTCCAGCCCTGCTCCAGCCTCCTTTTAGTGCTGCCTCAGATTTTGTGGATCCAGCATTAATTCCACTCTGTCTGTGAGACAGGGAGTGTGGCAGCGAGGCTGAGGACAGGGAAAATGCTCCATGGGTACTTCCCAAAGGATCCCAGATCCTAAATCTCTTCCCAAATCCCTTGGGAAGAGCCTCGGGCTGGGAATGGCCGTGCTGAGCAGTTCCTGGTGGGAACTGGGGCAGGAA